CCCATCCAGTTGTTTTTTGGAGGATCATTTTAATTGCACTTATATCTGCCCCGTCTATCAGGTATTCTTCTGTTGATTTATTCGACTAAAATGTATTTTATCGGTGTCTGATTACTGCATTTTTTGAGTATCTCGAATCGTTAGAATGTATCTGCTTTGTTACCTTCCAAAGTGATCATAAATGGTGTTTTGCTTATAGACAGTTTTATTTGTTCGCGACTGATCCTCGTCTCAAAAGGATGGGTATGCAAAGCTGGGTGTATCTGGCGCTGTGTGCTCTTGAAGCTGCTGTGTGTATCAAATTCGGTAGACCGATGTTTCCGAATGTGCAAATCAAAATGATTGTTGAATGGATCGCGCTTTTGGTTGTTTTTTGTTTATCCTTTCGTTAATAACTATAATAATTAGTATATTGCGAGTGTCGTGAAGTTACAGTTGGCTTGGTCATTGAGTAAATGTTTTTAGTTTGATGCAAAATAACAAATGATTTGTTTTTACAGTTTCTTGGAACGCTTGTCTGTGTATGGTTTTCAGTTTGGTGGGCAAAGAGATATGCTGTAAGTTGATTCTTTCATCAATAATTTTATCGCTTCTTGAACTTGGATTGGTATTTGTTATTGTATCGATGTAACTTTCTAATTTATAATTGTAATATAATGCAGTTAGTGACATCAGTACGGTCAGTTCAGCGATATAATTTCTTAGATTTATTCTCTTGTAAGAAGATAATTTCGTTGCTGAATTTACCTCAATGATAATATAATCAAACAATTGAATTTTTTTTTCAGGAAACGGAACAAGTTGATGGGAATATACGTTATTTGGATTCGAGTTGTGAGAATCTTGGTTTAATTGCGGATGACGTTAAAGCTCGAAGGAAGAAACTGCAGCTTTCGGAATCGGATATCAGTTGATCATCCTAATCTCCGATTCCGAAAGCTCCAGTTAGGGCTTGCACGAGACCCCGGGATTACAGTTCTGATCCCGATCCCGGGATTTATGCTTTGAAAAATCCCGGGATTTCGGGATTTGATAAAACATTCAATTTGTGTGAATTTTGATAGTATGCCCACCTTGAAGCAAGCCTTAATCATTCCCATCGCTAATAAATCTACTAAGCAAGCGTAAATAAACAACGGAAAATAGAATGTGTCCGATTGCTTTTTTNTTTTTTGTTGTTGTTTTGTTTTTATTTGTGCTGTTCCTCGTTATACCATTTTTTTACTGAATCTGTTGAATTGTAGCTTTTACTGTTGAAAAATAAAACCACGATTCCTCTTGATTTTTCTAGTTTCGTCTCACGCAAATCAAAAGGAATCGATCACTATATCATTTGTAACGATTTGTATGCGTGTTTTAACTGTTACCGCAAACTTGGGCAATTAGACCAAAATAAAATAATCAGTTCGCGAATTCATAAATTCATCAATGCTTTCAAACGGAGTTGAATCATAATACCATCACAATGTAAGAAAACGAAAGAAATAGGTGAGTAATGATGGTAATAATAATAGTGACAATGTCAACGTCGAAAATAACGATTATAATAAAAATAATGGCAGTGTCCACAGGTAGGCAACTGCGCGCTATTCCGCTAATCCGCTACTAGCGAAATAGCTATTTCGCTAGCAGTGAATTGAAGCATACGGATTAGAGGTGGACAGTAGAGCGCTATTGTACACATTTAATCCATATCACCTAGCTACCTATCTGTTTCTTTTAGGCTTCTTGTAAGAATCTTCTGAGTTTATATCTGTTGAACTTGCTGCTTGTGTTAATGAAACTTTCTTTTTTACTTCTATAATATATATTTTATACCATAATTCAGCTAGACGCCTTCATGTTGTTCTAAATTTCATGAACCATCACTTATAATCCCCTTCTAATTCTCAAACATTTGCAGCGAATAAATAAACGAATGTTACATGAATAAAAATAATTGCAGTTGAAGGTGACAATAAGAACCGTAAGTAAGCGATTATAACATATTATCATAGGGACAGAATCACGACTGATCTTCCTTGAGGATGTGCGTCTCTTGGTCTTCTTTGATGAACTCAGACAACTCTCGACTGTACATGTCTAGTCGTTGTGTCATCTGCAACTCGATGAAATAAGGCGTGCTTAACGGTCGAACGGAACTATCAGTAAATTTTCTTTTTGTATTCCTCANCGACCAGTCATCATTATATTTATTGCGACAAAGTATCACAAAATTGCCCAGATTATCACTTCGTTTCAACGCAGATTGTGTATATTCGCGTTGTGGTTGGGTGTACTAGTGGTTATATACTTACTTCGAGATATTTTTAAGAATCGTTTTGAAGGGGAATCAATTTGGAGTATACCAGTGCGAAAGAACAAGATGTATTTAAATAGAAATTAAGGTTATAGTTTTGCATTCTGAAGCAACTCTAGCAGATTTTAACAACATTTTTGGAATAAGTTCTTTGGATACTCAAAAACGACAACTTCATTGATATTAATAGTCATGTATGCATCAATAATACCTGGAAACCCCACTTATCCTTCATTTGTCGGCATAAGTTCAAGTCGATTTCGCTAATCAATACGCCATCTTTAACTCTTGATAAACCCTGTAATTTTCATTCATCAGATCGAGCTGGATACCATTAGCTTATGCACTGCAACACGCATCAGATTGTTAGCTTCAAAAGATAACAAATTTTGGTGNAGGTCAGCATACAATAAGGGATCGTTCATTGCAAGTTTTATTTGATTTATAAGGTAATAACCCACTGGTGTACGACTTCCATCAGGTGCTGCCACATAACTGCTACCGAAGAAATGGCCGAAGTTGTGATGTGCTTAAAAATTGATGGTTTTTAAGTTAACTTCTTCTTTAAGTTGACTTCTTCATTACGTTGTTCACACATTTGCTCCTTTTTCAAATAAGTGCTGTGAAATGACTCATCGAAGGGATTCTCGGATAAATTTTCGATTGCGATCAGATTGATGTGACAAAAATAAGTGTATGTGACGTGATCAGTGAATAACAAACCAGGTTTTCGATCACCACTGGTGAACTCATAAGGAAATACTTCAGTACCAACGCGATTGATTGCAACCGTGAAAACATGATTCGCAATTGCCGCATTACGTGCCTCTATGCTCCATAATGGTTCACTGTTTTTTAACGGTTCCAATATATTTGTTTTACAGCAAATTTCATTCAAAAATATTGTCGATAAATGATAATAGTAATTAACAATTAATATCCTTATAAATTCTTAGTACAATTACAATTACTATTATTATCATTGTGAGTTATATAGTAGATGTCACAAAGCACATATATGAATGCGTAACTGAAATGAATACAACCTCAGATTGGAAACAGTGGCACTCGGATTGAAAATAATCTCAGCTCCGTTCAGAGCGTACATCATCCAGTTTAGCGGATGATGTCGTCCGTAACAGATGTTCACTGCAATATTGCCTGAAATTTTATATTCTTATCACTTCGGTCACCCTGTTAGGATTGCAGTCCTTTTAGCTTTTTTTGCATTGATTTACGATAAATTCCGAGTGGAGTTTGGTTGCTCGACAATATTAATTATTACTGCTATCAGTATAAGTATTATCGCGAGAATGAACGTAAATTATGAACCTAAATTACAAGACAATCTTATTCAATAGAACTGAACTGATGATTTGAAAGATTTACCAAATTTAGTTTCAAATACAGGATGTCCCAACGTTGATTCCATATAATAAGATGACTGCAAAATATATTTTTGTTTCATTAGTCAGCTTAGACGAATGTTCGACTGGCTATCAGTTTACAGTTTTGTTACTTCAAATTCTCTTTGTAAACATTCATAGCCTTCATGCAATGTACGAATAATCATGGCGAATTCTTTCGTAAATTGAGATGGATAGTGAGAGCAATGCTGAAACGTAAACGTAAACTAACCTCATTGAAGTCACCAACTCGAGGAATATGATTCTTACGCGTTTTACCAATGATATTACCCGTGTGCGATATTACTACCGCAGAGTTCCAAATTACACCATTTTTATCTCGTTCCAATATTGGCGATATTATTACTATGCCATGATTTTTGCATAACTGTAAATATAATCACGTAACGTACAAATATTCTTCTCGTTAGAATTGATTACTTTTGTAACATTCTCCACAAAAGTCATCTTATTTCTCTTGCTGTGCCAGTTTCTGAGAACAATTAATTCAATTGCTTTGGAGATCATTGAAACGTAAAATAGTGAAATGGCAACAAAGTTGATTTTGTCGATTTTGAGTAGATGTTCTGACCGCGAAGACTTATATATCGCAGTTGTGAGCGATTAGTTGATCTATTTGCATCGGACCAGCATAAAAGTGTGGAGAGGTCAAAAGTTCGAACTGGATTAAGTTTAGCTTAAGCTTAGCATTAGGCTGAAACCTGGGCTCAAGCTAAGACTTGACTCCAGTTTTACGCTCAAGCTAAGAACACCTTTTCATCAAACAAGACCCAACACTGTTCCAATTCAATTTTCAACTCTTTTCTGAAGATGTCAAATCAGCGATTGGTTGACGGGCGATCTGTTACTAGTAGTTAAGCATTCAGTCAATCTTTGTTCTCAGAACTCACTCGAGTAGAGTGCTAAAGGAAACCCTGAATTTTTGATTAGAACGGAGGTGGTTTGGAGATAGAACAAAATCAAGGATTGTTTTGCTCAGGTGCTCTCGTCAGTGTGTAGAACAACAAGACATAAGGGACAAGTTTAAAATGACACTTAAGACAGGGAGTACTTAATGAAAGTATTCTAAAAACTTCAACAATTCAGTTCACTTTTTTCTTATTTATTGGGAGTTTCCACTTTTAGATTTGTGAGGTGTAATTCAAGGTATGCAAAAGCAGCTTCAAAACTGTTAGCACTGCATTCGATGAATCCAAAAGATATTCGAAAGTCTTTTCGTATGATGACAAACTGTCAGCAGTTGCACTTATGGTCACTTCTCAAAAATGTCTACTACTCTGAACTAATCCGTTGGATGCTACTTCCACGAGTACGGGTTTGTGCCCCCTGATCAGTACACAATTTAATAAGTGCAACCGGACCAATCGCAATTTTCAGCTTCGTTGTGAAGTAATGATTTCAGAAGCATGAGGGAAGGAATAAGTGCTCTTTGAGTTTCAACGGAGAAGAAGGCGAAGTTTTAAAGAGGATTTCCAAAAGTAGTAACTTGTCTCAGAAATGAAACTGTAACACCGCTCTCTGCGTCCTCTGCAAATTCCGTCCATGGTAAACGTTCACGAGTACAGAACGCGAATGGCATTGCTTCAAATAATAACTTTATTTTCTAGAATATTCCTGCTTTATCTGTTATTTTCAATCAAACAATATATTGTTCTCATCAGCTGTACTCATACTCATGAAATGAACTGAATTCGATCGTATCCATACAATCACCAAAAATAATAGCAGTAACAAATAATATAGATAACAGAAAATATACTCCAAGTTTCTTGCAAGGCGATAATTTGCGCATTTGCTTTACAAGCAGCCTCAATCATTAGTTGAATTCGGTTATGAATTGCTGATCGCTGCTTTTCAACTGGTTCTGTTGTTCGCTCAACGATTGCATTTTGGATGGCTGCTATTCTTACCTTAACAATGTCAGTAATTAATGGCATTGGTGACACTATTATCCGTATTCATGATCAATGTTATTGGTTACATTGATCATGATAGTGATACAGATAAGAATAATTTTGTTAACGGTCGTAAAATTAGGAATGGTAAATGCGATTGAAGAAAATAACACCTTGCGAGTTGACCGTAACTGCTCAGTTTCCGCATTGAATATATATCCTTTCAATTCGAAATTATTTTCGTCAGCTAACTTGATCAGATCTTCATCTATATCCAATTTCCTAAAATAAAATAGAGCGATGAAGTAGATTTGCCAATGTAATTAATAGTTAGTTAATTTCCATTCTTTATTTACGGAATTATGAAACAAATATCAGAGATGAGTATAAGAACATGTCGCACTATCCGAGCGAATGGATACACGAACAAATATTTTTAAAAAACCTCAAATTATTGCCATAAATCAACGATGAAACAGCATTGTACTCGTCTTCATTCAATCTTTTTTTGAGAATATCGTCTATGTTCGTCAGTTCATCCGCCTTTTGCATTTCGTTTTCCTTCGTATTCATAAATAATTTGATGTTTAAAATGCCTGGATCAACCTCAAACGATTCGGATTCAATGCATCGAAAACAAGTTTAGATATTATCCAATTGACGCGGTACAACATCATTTAAGATTAACTTCCTCAAGTGGAAAGATTCCCCAAGTTCATATAAGAATGATGAACTAAGAAACAAACAAAAATAGCAATTAACAAGCAAAAACTTATCAGTTGAATAATGAACAAAAATGCGACAATATTTTACACAGCAAAAGTTCGAATCAACGATGAACACCGCTCTAAACAACCGATAATGGCAACTGTCAATCAGTTCTGCGAAACGAGTGTCTGCTGCTGTTGGTTGAGATATTAATTAATGACGACCTCTCGACTGTCTTAATAACGATGACAACAGCAACAATAATGCGAACAACACTAACAACTATTACAACGACACTCTTACTTTAGCTATCACTATTGTCCTCATCACTGAATCAGAATAAGTAATTTTTTAGTCACAATAGTAATGTTATTGTACAATAAAAATATTAAACTATAAGATTTCGACTGATCGTATCAGTCTACAGCGCAATCATAGATAATACAATGTAATATGTGAGCAACGGAATAACTAAAGTGATCAAAGCAGACTGCGATGAAGGTCAGACAAAGCAATATCTAACAGTGATAAGAATGATGCTGTTGCTATGCAATATAACCATTTCGGTAACGACAATGAAGATATCAATATCAACGAAACAAAATGCACTAATGGTCGTTACATCAACACTANCAAGGAATAGAATAGAACAGTTCTCAAATGAGGAACGCACAGGATAGAATAGAATAGAGCCGTTTTTGGAGCGGAATAGAACAGAATAGAATAGTTTTCAAAAAAGTGGCATGTGGCTCATAAGAGGAAGATTTTCATTCGTTATTTTTGATCTAATAATAATCTCCCTTTTCCACTGTTATCGTCAACAAATAATTCCTTCTTTACAATCGTTCAATTCCTTCTTTTATTTTACACAAACTATTTGTCACTGTAAGCATGAGGCAGCTAATTTTCTTGAAATATACGGATCGATCCTCTTGGCTAATGATGCTTTTTTTCTACTTTTAATGTTCAATTCCGTTCTGTTATATTCTTCAACTCTTCTTTTCTGTTCTGTTCTGTTCTCTTCTGCATGTGCCTTTTTTGAAACTTTTGTGCTTTACCCGTTGAATTATTCTTTTCCCCATTTTCATTTTTGATAGTCATTTTGTTTTGGCATTTCGGAATTTTAGAATTGTTCTGTTCTGTTCTATTCCTGTTCTCTCAGCGTGGTGAAATAGCAAGAAATATGATGATAATAACTGTGCAGTTCGTCNCGACAGTTTACTCTCAAACCGAAGCACATCTTCTCATGGCGATAAATCTGGATTAAACTGATTTGTTCAAGCAGACTAAATTTTTCTGACTGAGCATGGAATTTTATTGGTAGCGTAAAATGTGAACATTTTTATAATGGATCGCAGCTGGAGTTCAGAGTGTAATCAAAAAGTGAGAATTGGATATTTGTTCAAGTTCGAATTGTGACTTTGACCTACACACATCCATATCTCCTGTATGAGAATTATAAGCTATGAATTCAATGGTGCAACTTTCCACATGTTAAATAGTCAGCTTATGACGGCTGATCAGTTAAAATCAAATGTTACGGAACATATACGATGAAACGACGACTTAATTGCTAATTAAATAAATAAATTGGGAAAGCAGACTGCGAATGTCGAGTCTTCAGCGAAGTGTGAACATCAACACTTTTTCAGGCGATCCTATAGAGGGTTTCTTTGTCGTGAAGTGAAAGAGTTGCAATTCTTAAATGATAGGGATATGCAGTCAAACCTCAGGTTGCGTTCATTACTCGACTTTTCACTAATAACGTTCATGTAAGAGCAATCTTTATAATATGGGCACTGCGTGTTTCATGTTCAGTCGAATTGTTTGCTAAGATGTTCGTAGCAACTGACAATTTTTATATAGAACATGACTCTTGGTAAAGAAGTACATATGCTTGTATTTTATTAAAATTCAATTCAGTTATATAGCTTTATAAAAGAACCAACCCCAATTGGTCAAGTTAATCCTTCTAATAATAACCATAACCATTTAATAAACATATCGTCTTCAGACCAGCTCTTCTCCTAGATGTTCTCAACAACATCTAATCTTTTAGAAAATGAACTTCAGTTTGAGAAAAGTACTCGTACCACTTTGCAGAAGAGAATTTCATTCCCTTGAGATATATCACTGCACAAATAAAAACACACTTTGATGCACATGATTATTCTGATATTAACGTTGGGCACCACATGTGCATTTTTTTCGTTGGATAGCGGTCTAGCAAACTACTTTTTCGCGAACGATAGCGGAATAGCGGACTGCTCCTGCTATTCCTCTAACCGTACATCTGCGATTGAATACATAAGTCTTGCACCATTAAGGTGCGTAAATACAAATTTGCGCTCTAACACTGCAATTAATTCAAGCCTACCGTCCTCTTGAACGGTTCAATGTTGAGTTTGCCTTTGATGCAGCAGCACTACCATCCCATTACAGCTCGTTATGCTATGCGACTGTGTTGAGTGGCGAGAGGAGATGAAACTTGATGAATCATAAATTGTAATAATATGCACGGGTCTAACCCCTAATGAAGGAATGACGACGAAGGGACTTTCGCTATGTTCACACGTATGGGATTTAGATTTAGCAAATATCACACAAACAAATCTTTCACAATGCGCACACGCAAAAAAAA